ACTAATGCCAAGGATATCAATCTTTATGCATTCCATTTCCTTTTTGACAACTTCCAATTTTCCTAGATTCATACTTCGTACATTCCATGTTCTGATGATTAACGGATGTCTGCAGCTGTTTCTCTTCAATTTGAGTGGTGCCACATCAGCAAATGGAGGTCTCGAAAGTTTTACCTTATTTATATGAGTAAGGCTGGGCTTACTCAGATGATGCAGCTCTTTCCCAGTCCTATTTTAAGAGCCTTCTAACCTAACTGGACTATTCATAGTTGCATGGTAATGTATCAAACAGTGTTTCTTCGCTATTCACAAAGTTTTCCTTGGCCAATTCTTTGAGAAGTGGACGGCCTCTTCCTTCTTCCTAGTCTGTCTCAGTCTGTAAGCTGGGCTGATACCTGTGCACCACGTGCATCCTGCTGGGTTTGAAACACCAGTGGCTCAGCCTCAAAACTCACATCAACACATCAACACGGTAGGACAAACTGACAGACAAGTTTGTCTCCCTGTTAGAAACCTCTCGTACCACCCTTCCCTGGGTCCCTGCAGATGACTGATTCTCTGTCCAGGTTCCTGGGCCTTTTAATCCCCTCTTTCCCACTCTGCTGCTTTGGGCGTGCTTGAGTTCCCTCTTCTCACCTGGATACCTGCGGCTGACTGCTTCTCTGTCCAGGTTCTTGGCTTTTAATCCCATTTCTCCCGCTCTCCTGTCCTGCTGCTTTGGGCGTGCCTGAGTTCTCACCTCACCTGGATCCCTGCGGCTGACTGCTCCTCTGTCTGGGTTCCTGGCTTTTAATCCCATTTCTCCTGCTCTCCCATCCTGCTGCTTTGGGCGTGCCTGAGTTCTCTCTCCTCACCTGGATCCCGATGGCTGACTGCTCCTCTGTCTGGGTTCCTGGCCTTTAATCCCCTTTCTCCCACCCTGCTGCTTTGGGCATGTCTGAGTTCCCTCTCCTCACCTGGATCCCTACGGCTGACTGCTCCTCTGTCCAGGTTCCTGGCTTTTAATCCCCTTTCTCCCGCTCTCCCGCCCTGCTGCTTTGGGCGTGCCTGAGTTCTCTCTCCTCACCTGGATCCCTGCGGCTGACTCTTCTTCTGTCCCGGTTCCTGGCTTTTAATCCCCTCTCTCCCACTCTCCAGTTCCTGGCTTTTAATCCCCTCTCTTCCGTTCTCCTGTCCTGCTGCTTTGGGTGTGCCTGGATTCTCTCTCCTTACCTGGACCCCTGCGGCTGACTGCTCACTGGTTTTATAGGGATTGGCAAATTAGAAATTGACTCTCTAAAGTAGGGGAAGATAAAGGCATGAAGTGGCTGACTTACATGCTTTCATGGGTGTGGTTATTCTTAAAGTGATGGTGAAGGGGATATGAATTTTTTAAGTATAAAAAGCATAATGGCTAGAAAAGCCAGGGGGTGGCCCATGGTATAGTAAATTACTTAGTGTGGCTTTTCTACCCATAAATCTTTGTAAACTCCGAGGTGGAATTTGCCATGAGCAACTGAGGAGCTCCTGATTGCTAAAGTTGCTCACCTGGGGTATTTCTGTTGGGCGTGGCACTAAACAATGTTTTGGGAGGTTCCCGCTCTCTCAGGTATTTAGAACCCTGATGTTATGATTGTTTGGTTTGGCCACTCTGCCAGGCTCAAAAGGAGGCCTCCTAGAGGCAGAACTCTCTTGCTGGCTGAGGAAGGACATGTGCTGCGGAAAAAAGATGCAAGAGACATGCATTGCTGAGAGAGACATCGAGGGACATGCACTGCTGGGAGAGAGACTGAGCATTTTTCCTGAACTTGAATTGTAGCCTGGTGCTTCCCTAATAAACCCCATAATCTGTGAGAACGGTTGGTAAAAGGGCTGGAGGGGGAGGCAGCATGTCTGGCCTTGCAGTAATGGGCCTTGGGCTATTGATGGTGATTCTATCTTCCTCTTGTGCGGTTAGAGGAGGTCAGAACATGTGGCCTCCCTGCCTTTTTAGCACCCAGGAAGCGAGGATAATACTACTACTTACCTCTTGGGTTTCTGTGAGGATTAAATGAAATAATGTTTAAATACTTAGCATAGTGCCTGGCACATAATAAGCACTCAAGAATGGTAGCTGTTAGCTAGTATCTTCCAAAGAAAATATGTTAAAAACAAAAAGAAGGGTATCTCTTCTGACCCACAAAATTTCTAAGAAATGCCTAGAAGAATTAACTCTTTCTGATATCTCACAGACTCTCTCTCCTACCTCTGTAAGTGAATATATCTTTTAAGCTTTTTTTTGCCCTCCTCTCCCTTCTCCAGGTTCTGAATAACCAACTTTAAAAGATGTAAAGCATTGTAATATTTTCAAATTTTGCACTGACTTCTACAAATATCCAAAAGCTAACCCTGGAGAAGAGCCCAATCAGTTTGATCAGTTTCTCTCTCATTAAACCCTAATCCTTCAGATCATATTCTCTTTAGCTAATGTTACCTCAGAAGCTATCAATTCCTGATTTTCACAGACCTGACCTTTAAAGACTCTGTCTTCCTTCTTGATAAGGAGAAAGATATACACACACACCAGGATTTTGAAGGACAGAGAAAAGATTTTCAGATGGATACAACTGCAATTAAACTTGCCAAACAAACTGTAAATCAAGAAGAATCTACAGGGATATTAACTTCGTGATACACCATTAGAGAAACTAAAATTGGTTTTAGATTAGATTGGTGTAATCTAAACAAGAAGAAACGAGCTCTATCTTCAAATAAATAGGAAAAAGCAATCTGGAGTACAAATTGAAAAATTCTGCTCACCTCCCAACTGTGGAGCCCTGGTTTTAATAGCTGTCAAACTCCCCCGTAGTCTGTGGTTGACTCCCTACAAGGAAACAAAGGGAAGTAACCAAAAATACAATATATTAGAAATATATCTGCAACCCACTGATGGGGCCACAAATGATGCTACCAAACTTAGATTTCAAGTGATGATAAAATAAAACTAGTCACCCACTTACCACTGGAGAATTACGAAAACCTTTGATTGCTTGAAAGATACCACCACCTATGGTACCCATTGTGAAGGCACCACCACAGTCATCCACAATTCGCCAGGGGCTATGAATAGATGGGGGAAAATGACAAGATTTGTAATTCATAAAACCTTCCTTGCTAACACAGTAAAGTAAGCAACAGATTCTAACTCGGGGCCCACTGTGGCCAATAACATTTGGCCCATAAATTATAGACACAAAGGATTCTGAGCATATTTAGCTTTTTAGTACAAAATCATCTAAGCTAGAGAGAAGGAAGTTGGTGTCAACTTCCTACTCTTACAGCACTTTATTCATTCATTTAACAATTATTGTATCTAGAGCTCTGGTAGCATAGTGCCTAAGGCACTTGACTGCTAACCAGAAGGCTGGTGGTTCAAACCCACCAGCCGCTCCTTGGAAGGAAGATGGGGAAATCTACTTCCGTAGTGATACTGCCTCGGAAACCCAAGGTGGGGTCACTATGAGTCAGGTCCGACTCGACGGTACACAACAACAACAACATTATATATCAGGTACTGTATCTAAAACAAATAAGTGCATATGAAATTACATCATTATCAACAATGCTGATCCAGTCTCCTGGGAATCAAAGTAAGCTCTCCAAAATCAAACCAAACCAAAGTCACTGCCATTGAGTTGATTCAGACTCATAGCAACCCCCTCTGGGTTTCCAAGGCAGTTAATCTTTATGGAGGTAGACTGCCCAGTCTTCCTTCCGGGGAGTGGCTGGTGGGTTTGAACCACCAAACGTCTGGTTAGCAGTCAAATGCCTTACGCACCACACCACCAGAGCTCATAAAGCTCTCGAAGCCCTGAGTAAAATTTAAAGCTGAGACCCAAAGAATGAGGATTCAGTAGCTACATATGAAAACAGCCTTTCAAACTTAAGTCTGAAATTCTTTCCAGGTATTGATATCAAATAGGTGCCTGGAATCTTAGTTTGTTTCAGATCCATTTAACACATTGGAATATTCTAGTATCCAATAACTAGAGTAAAATTTGTATATCCAGACTCCAAATGTAACACCACTTATGTAACAAAGTGAAATTTGAGTAATCTGATCAGAATAGAACTATTTAATCTTCTAGGAACATTACTATAGTCTGTGAGGAGTTAGATTCACATTCAAATCACTATAGGTAGAAGAAATTTTACATAGTCCAAAGGAAAAATGCTATAATGAACACATGGGCAACCCACCTGCTCACTTAAACTTGTGAATTCAGTGCATTCTGTTTTGCTGCTGATAAATTTGAATAATGAATAATCTCTGATTTTGCCAGGTAATAATACAAAGCCCTCAAGTTGAAACACTACATCCTTTTCAAGAACAATAGAAATCAGGATTTTGTACAGAATGACTATCTCACACAGTTGTTAGCTGCTGTGAAGATGTCCCCAACTCACAGCAACTATGTGCACAATGAGGGAACAAAATCCTGCCAGATCTAGCACCATCTCCATGATCGGTCGGGGACCAGGCTGGTGTGATTCATAGAGTTTTCATTTCATTGATTGTTTCTTGCAAACAGATCACCAGGCCTTTCTTCCTAGCCCCTATTAGTCTAGAAGGCCTACTGAAATCCGTTCAGTATGATAGCAACGTGCACGCCTCCATTTACAGATGTGCATGAGGTACGCTGGCCAGAGGAAAGCACAGGCATAAATCTTCTTGGGTGCCCCACATAGAAGGTGAGAATTCTACCACTGAACTGCTACATAGCTCATGTAGTAGATAATTCAGTTATCAGTGGGATGCTTTGGGGCTCTGCTACCCGGAGTGTGGGCCAAAGACTAGCAAAATCAACAACACCTAGAAGCTTGTCAGAAATGCAGACTCTTGAGTCATGCTCCAAACCTACCAAATCAAAATCTTACATTTTAGGAACTTCCACAGATGACTTGATTACAGAGTAAAAGTTTGAAAAGCACTGCTTTAAAAGACTACAAAAGATTAAGAAAACTTCTTGAAAATGGTAGGAACATTACTAGAAAACAAAGAGAAAGGCAAAGGAGAATGAATTAGTAGCCACTCCCTCTCCATAGGGAGCTCTGGTAGCGTAGTGCCTAAGGCACTTGACTGATAACCAGAAGGCTGGTGGTTCAAACCCACCAGCCACTCCTTGGAAGGAAGACGAGGCAACCTACTTCCATAGTGACACTGCCTCGGAAACCCAAGGAGGGATAGCTATGAGTCGAGTCTGACTCGACAGCACATAACAACAACAACAATAACAACCCTCTCTATAAGTGGAGGGTCAGTAACTTGGAATGAGACAGGAATACATTTGCAGCTACAGTGGTCCAGGAAAGAGCAAATAAGGAAGTCTCCATGAGGGGGCAGTTCTACTCCACTACTGAGTCAATTTCAACTCATAACAACCCTTTAGAGCAGAGTAGAACTGCTCCATAGGGTTTCCAAGGCTGTAAATCTTTACAGAAGCAGATTGCCTCACCTTTCAAAACAAAAACTAAATAGAAAAAAATAGATATTTTATGTATCTTCAGTCAATGTTGCTGAGTGTTTGCAGTATAGTAAATTACATGATATGGCTTTTCTAGCCGTAGTATTTGTAACTCCCATTTTGCTGTAAGTAACTTAGTAGCTGCTTGTTAAAACCATCCACCTGGAACAACACAAAGCAATCTTCTGGGAAGTTTGCTCTCTTTCTCAAGTGTACAGAATTCTGATGTTAGGATTGGTTAGTCTGACCACTCTGCCAGGCTCAAAAGGAGCCCTCCTAGAGGCAGGAGTGTCTCTCTGACTGCTGGATGAGAGAGATGCGCTGCTGAGAGACACACTCCTGAGCTAGAGAGATGCAGCAATGAACCAGAGAGATGGCCAGCTAAGAGAGACTGAGCATGTTCCTGAACTTGAATTGTTGCCTGTTGCTTCCCTAACAAACCCCATAATCTGTGAGTGGTGTCTGTGAGTTCTGTGTGGCCACTGCAACAAATTATCAAGCCCAGCAGAGAGACAGTGAGTGCCGTGGGAGGGAAGATCGATTGGTGTCAGAGATGGTGAAAGGGCTAGAGGGAGGCAGCATGTCTGGCCTCACAGAAATAGGCCTTGGGCTGCTGATGGTGATTCTGTCTTCCTATTGTGTACTTAGAGGTCAGAAGATGTAGCCTCCTTGCCCCTTTAGCAGTGTTCATTTGATATTGGGCAGTGGGAAGAGTTTCAAAATTTCTTTCCAGATGAATGAATGACAATCAATGTGAGGTAGTTATTAAGCTATTTCCAATCCTGATTTACTACTTAATTAGCTCCATGATCTGCTGCAAGTGACAACATCACTGTTTCCTCATCTACCAAATGAACACACAGATTTGGGGTGGGATTAAATGGTAATGCCAAACACATTTAGGATAGTGACTGGCATATAAAAAACCAAACCAAACCCACTGGCATTGAGTAAATTCTAACTCATAGAGACTGGCATATAGTGCTCAATAAATGTTAGCTATGGATGGCACAAATGGTTAAGCACTCAACTATTAACTGACAGGTTGTTGGTTCGAACCTACCCAGACAGCAGGCATGGCAATCTGTTTCCAAAAGGCTTTGAAAACCCTATGGAGTGGAGATTATAATCCATGTCATGAAATTAAATGTATTAAATGGAAAACCAATTTACTCCATAAACTTTCACCCAAATCATTATGAAAAGTTTAAAAAAAAATCCTCAAAAACCCTATGGAACAGTTCTACTCTGCACACATGGGGTCACCATGAATGAGTTGGAATTAACTTGATGGCAGCCATCAACAACAACATGATTATTAAAATAGAAAAATTACATCGGTTACATTTTAAAATGGAAAGGTTAACAAAATAAAATTCAAAAATGATGGAACCTAAAAGTAAAAACAAAACATTTAATACATTTAATATGCTAGCTTTTTACTCTATGGATACACAAGCACTCATGAATAACAGAAAAGCCAAATTCTCAATGACTAAAAAATAAAGCAACTTTTAGACAAACAATATTGTATTATCAGTTAATAACAAACATTAATTTATAGGGTGGTGTGGTAGTTAAGTTTGTATGTCAACTTGGCTGGGCCTGGTTGAGTGGCTGGGCAGCTGGATGTAGTATTCCCCATGAAGAGACTGGTAATCAGTTTCATGATGGAATCTACTGTTGAAAGCTGAGTAACTGCCTAGGGATGTGGTCTGTTTCCTCTATATAAGAAGCCTTGGGAATGGTCTCTAGCTTATGGCATGCTTGAACCCTGCATGTACCCATGTCATCACTCAGCAGCCTGCCATGCTCTGCCAACCCCGGGACTGTGCCTTTTTACTTGTCAACCTTGGGCTTTAGCCTCAGCAGCCAGTAGCTGCCTGAGTGAAGAGATGCCTCTAGCTCCAGTGGTCCTGGAGCAACAGGCAGAGCTGAAGCCCAAGGCTGAGGGATTTTCACACAGCCCCTAGAGCCTGGCACTTTGAACTCAGACTTAAAGCCTCTAAACTGTAAGAGAGTAAACACTGTTTGTTCAAGCATTCCATTCCTGTCAGAGTGGCACTAGGTAACCAGAATGGGTGGATACGTAGGTAGACAGGCTAAATGATCAGATATGTCTGGGCAAAAGTGAATATACCAATGACCATATATAAGTTTGGCAGATGATATTTCTATATATGTATTTTTACGTGCTGCAAGAATGTCCATATATGTAATAGAGCTAACGATGCAAAGTGATAAATTCTTAGCCACCGCCAAACACCTTGAGTGAGTAAGTTACTGGGCCCATGGGCTTGGTACCATGGTTGCAGGGGGCATGTAGCTCAACTGGCATAACACACTACACAAAAGCATTGTTCTACATTCCTACATTAATGAATAACTACTGGGGTCTTAAAAGCTTGCAAGCAGCCATCTAAAATGCAACAGGTGGTCTCTCCTCATCCAGAGCAAAGAAGAATGAAGAACAAAGACACATGGAAACAATTAGTCTAAGGGACTAGTGGACCATGTGAACCTCAGCCTACATGACCCTAAGACCAGAAGAACTAGATAATGTCCGGCTACCACTGTCAACCACTCAGAGAAGGA